GGCCCTCGCAGCAAGAGAATACTCACTCAAAAGAAGCCCGCCCTGACTCGCCCCACCTACCAAATCCTTTTATCATTCCTCTGCTACACATTCGTAACAAAGAACAAAACCATGAGATAGTACTCTCCATTTAGCCCCTTACTGCTAATCCCATTTCATTTATGAGGGTTATTCCTGATCCTGAGGGCCTGATCACGATAAGGACATTCATTTTTGGCACCAGCGCTATCTGTCCGCAACCTGCGGGCAACACTTTTATCAGCCAAATGATGCCACTTGCTGTTGTCAACAATGAGAAAACGTCGAACATCGAAGGGGTGAAAAATCGTGATCGCTCACCTGCGACAAAGAAGATGAACAGGTGGCAGCACTTGATGCAGCCCTGACATCTGCAGATGTTTCAGTGCCAACTTCATTTTCCTCATCGTCGCCTTCAGTCCACTTATGTTGGTAAACCGGGCGACGTTCTTTGGGAGCCGTGATCTTTGTAGGAGCTAAAGCGGCTGATAAAGCTGCAGAGCGATTGCTGAGTCTAATCACCGTAAAAAAAGACTATTTCAGATGGCAAACTTTACTCACATGAAGGTGGTGGCGAAATTTTACTCCTTTTGACTGATGGTGGAGGTGAATCGTCATTGTCGTCAAAATCGAACGTGGACGAGGTACGAGCAGTGCCAGTTTGAGGAGACTGTGAGGAGCGTAAAGTGGTGGTGCTGAATGCACTGAAAAACGCATGAGCATCAGGGAAGACGGAAGACTACTGTTTCAAAATTATGCCATCACTCAGATATACAGGACGGCAGGGTGTACTAGCTAATGGCTTCTTACCACGAGTACGATATGAAGTCAAACAAATGACCGAATTTTCAAACTAAAAATTCCTTAGGTAGATTTACTGGATGATGCATGAGAGGATGGAAACAGTGACTTGAACATCGGGGCAAGATGAATAGCGTACAAATAAATGCATCCCCAGCGTTCATTTATGCGTAGATATCTTTTCTAGACATGATAGTCGTGCCCGCAAGCAGGAGGATGTACTACTTTACCAGCTCAAAAATACCTGAGGGAGGCGCGATCCGCTCGCAACGAAGCCACTACTCGGCCCGTTGACCACGGCCACGTCCAACTTTATTTTCAGTAGCTTATTGATGGTGCGTCCGGTTATTACGCCGCTAACTCTCTCCATTTCCAATGGTGAATATGAGGAGCTAGCACCAACAAGCGAGAACTCGTCCGACCTCTCGTTCTTCGCCTTAAAGACAGCCCCCGCGCTCAAGTAGTACATGGTCGTCCTTCCTTGTGCAGGTACAGCCCCAAGCTAGATACTGTCCCACTCTCGCGACTCCACAGCGAGCGAGGAGCGAGCTACAACCGCTCAAAGTTCTAGTTCTAACGCCTGCTCAGTTGGACCGCCTCACTTGCTAGATGCCCTCCGACGGAGAGCCGCTCAGTTGTTGTTGGGGCGGCGGGCATTAATCGGCATTCATGTCCTTTTCGCTGACCACGCTCGTGCCCATAAATAATTCTGCTCTCCTTCATCACATTTTATTCATTGGGAGCACATACAGTCAACTGCAACCCATCTCGTAAGGTAAAACGCGTAAAAATCACGAATGATGCAATTTCTGTGGTGCAAAAGCTCGACGCACTTCACTACACTAAAACATGCTCGCTACCGTAACCCTAAGTTCGGACGCCGGCTTTTTAAATGTTTCCTTTTCTTTTCAAGAGTTTTTCCTCTATGTTTCTGTTGTTTTTGTTTTCTTTTCTTCGCATTCGATGATATCCACTACTGGGAGATGTGACAAAGTGATTTGTGAGCCAGGGCTTGCACAGAGACCGCAGGGAGGTGTGACTGTCAGGGCGCGATTTTGTTTATGGTGTTCTTGAGGGCTCTTGTTTCTTTTTTCCTTCATTGAGGAATTACTTATCAGCTACTGTTTCATAATTGATCAGCAATTATCCTTGACACTTTTATCGCGGGAGCTGTCTTTAAGCACGCACGAACGCGCTTCAGTATAGGGCATTTTGGGCGGTTTTCTACCACTTGTTCTTTATCATTGTTTCACTTGCCACCCTGTCATTGGTATTGAATCCGCACAACTCACCACTCAAACGTGGTGCGTGCCTTAGAATAAATATGTCATGGATAGTTGCTTTTCAATTATGAAACAGTAGCTGATAAGTAATTCTCCAAAGAAGAGAAAAGCAAGAAGAGTTCTCAAGAACACCATAAACAAGATCGCTCCCTGTCAGTCACACAGCCCTGCGGTCATTGTGCAACCCCTGGCTCACAAATCCCTTTTTCGCATCTCCCAGTAATGGATATCATCCAATGCAAAAAAAGAATACGGAAAACAACAAAAACACGGAAGAAAAACTCTTGAAAAGGAAAATAAACTTTTAAAAACTCGGCGTCCGAATTAAGGGTTACGGTAGCGTGCATCTTTTAGTGTGTTTAGTGCGTCGAGCTTTTGCACCACGAAAATTGGGTCGCTCGTGATTTTTACGCGTTTTACCTTGCGAGATGGGATGAAGTTGACTGTATGTGCTGCTAATGAATAAAATGTAATAAAGGAAAGCAGAATTATTCATGGGCACGAGCGTGGTCAGCGAAAAGGACATGAATGCCGATTAATGCCCGCCGCCCCAACAAAGCGGCCCTCCGTCGGAGGGCATCTAGCAAGTGAGGCGGTCCAACTGAGCGGGCGTTAGAACTAGAACTTTGAGGGCTGTAGCTTGCTCCTCGCTCGTTGTGGAGTCGCGAGAGTGTGGGATAGTCTTCTAGCTTGGGGCTGTACTACTTGCACAAGGAAGGATGACCATGTACTACTTGATCGCGGGGCTGTCTTTAAAACATTAACAGCTCTGGTAGTTCCGACATCCCAAAAAAGGACCCATCGATCCGAATTTTATGTCCTTGCGTAGACATAAGGATTTTTAATTTATATAACAATTTGCGAGAATCTGTCGATGTTAGGAATGTGACGACGGAACAAAAAAAAGCTGCACTTCATTTCCGCCCCGGGAAATACGAATAGAAATAACTGTACCCGATGAGCACGAAAAGTACAACCAAAATATAGTGATACCTGTTCAAAGGTGAAATGGAAGAATGATTGCTAGAGCGTTCTGTAGGAATAGGTTGGCTGTCCTCATCGCTACTAGAGAGACCCTGGAAAAACTTATCCACAAAAAGCAGCTGAATAAACAAAGAAAAGCAATCTTTACATTGTCATTTTCAACAGTTCCATCTGTTGAAGTGCTTTCCGGTAAACTTATTGGAGGAGAAAATACTTGCTTAGGAGAGTGATGAGCAGGTTCCGCATCCGAGACTGAATTTGGTCGAAAGTGATAGATACTTTTAAAAAGCAAAATCAATAGGCGAACTGCATATGTATGAATAACTAACCTGATGGCAGGGCATCCACCGTGGGAGAATCACCCGACTGTTTTTGTGTTTGCCATCGTTTCTTCGGCAGACTAAAATGGCGATTGAATATATCGCGGGCGCAGAACGGCGACGGGGAAGGGGGAGGGGGAAGGGCGTTTTGCACATTCGGTGACCCCATTGTCGGTTGCTACTTGACAAGGGCTGACAAGTAGTTTCTAAAAACATCGTCTGGTATCATTTCGTAGCTTCACAAGATTCCACAGGTCTTCACTTGATGGCTCGAAACGACAATGGGAACGACGAAAGTGCAAAATCCCCCCCCCCCCGTCACCAAACTGCCAGCATTATGAACTACGACGATGAAAAATTCAGATTAAGCCTCGGACGAAGAGTGTGTGAACCACATTTGTCACCCCTTGGAAACGAAAAGAAAACACGATTTCTACTGACACAAAAAATATGAATTTGAGAAGTATTAGCTTTCACGTTGATAATCGCAGGAAACGTCGATAAGCAAAGGACTCACGGTTTAGAAAATGCAGCATCGAAGAGAGCGGATGCCTTTGAGTTGGGGCCAAAACTACCGTAGGCTCGATGCTCTGGATTTATACTTTTAGAGTGAGACATTTGTTATGGGCCAAGCCAGCTCTGCCTGAAAAATTGTATTTTGGCAAGAAATTCTGATAATTCCAGAACGACGACAGTGGCGGATAAATTTCGAAGGAGAGGGCGATGACCAGCTGCTCAAACAGGGCACTTCGTATGCTGGTAATCCTCAAGAGGCGGAGAGGGTGGAGAGCAGCGAAGTCGTATTTGGCTTGGGGAAAGTTTCTTGTGTTTGGTGATTTCGCGCTTCATGCGCAGCTCTGGTTGGCGGCGCTATCCCCCCCCCTCTCCGCTCGACGCAAAATTTCGGAGAAGTTTTGGTAAAATGATTGGTCGGTGCTGGAAAGGGGATCATTCCGCTAGGGAGAGGGAAATTTTGGAGGTTTTGTGTTACAATTCCCTCCCCCAATGCCAGGACGTGCCTTACTCACGGGATTCAAATGAATGTTCCCAATGAGGAGAATTGCTCCACAAGAATGCTGAAGCTACGTTCCTACTTCGTTCCAGCGTTTCGAGCGTAAGAGCGACTAGGAAAGGGCACATTAATGGTTGGGGATTTCAGTCGAGTCTATACCGACCCCCACCCCCTTTTTTTTGGGGGGTGGTTGGTACGACCTTCCACCAGCCCCCCGACCCTCCTGTCCCTCCTCATCGAATCGAGACGTCGAGCGGGGGGTAGCGGGGCCGGGGGAGGGTAAATAGCGGGAAAGCCGCGGACAATACGACCCCCTCCCTTCTACCAATTCTCAGATTTTCCCCAACTTCCTGCCACTTTTTCCAAAATTTCCCGAAAACTTCCCTACTTTTTCCCAAAAATTTTGCTGTCGAGCGGGGGGGGGCATATATAGTACGCATGAAACAGGAAAATCACGAAAAGTCAACCACCACTCCCACCACTCCTAGAAAGGCCAGAAAGTAAATACGACCCCCCTCTCCTGGCGGCCAAATACGACCTCCCCCTGTTGGGGATTCCCCAACAACCATGTGCCCTGAAAGTATAGGTGCCGATCCAGGGTTTTGAGCGTTTCGCGGGACTGGCGCCGTTAGATCGATACCTACACTTTTCATTCGCTCAAAACGCCTAAAACGCTGACAACGCTCGAAACGCTCAAGACGTTGCGTAAGCTCAGAACGCAGAGTATGAACTCAACCTAATTCATGAGTGAAAATCCTGGCTCCAGTCGGGACTCGACCCGGCCCAGTCTTGTGGTAACTTTCGAGTGCGAACTGCGACGTTATCACAACAAATAAACAAAACAAACATTGCTTCAATGATAAACAAATTTTTCAAAGCATATTAACAGCGGCAGAGCCATCAGTAGTAATGCCTTTCAGCAAAACGATCGATTCGACGTGGCGATGAACGTTTTCAAAGCATCAACATCAGTGTAACCATTCACAGACGACACTGTGAAATATTTACACAGAAATTCATTTTATTAAATTTCGC